CGGGAGGGCTGCACCCCACTCCCGGGCCCTTCCCCCGCGGCAGCGCTCCGCCCCTCGGCCGGTGGGTTGCCCCTCCTGTGTTGTAACTCGCCCCCCTCCCCCCCCCTCCCCGCAGGTGTGAGGGGAAGCGGCCCCGCTTGCCTTGGCGCGCTCGGTCGGGATGGTTTCGCCTCCTCCCCGCAGCCTTCCGCATTCGTTCGTGACCCCGCGAACACCCCCGCCCGCCCGCCGCAGGGTAGGGCGGTCCGGACCCCGCTGCAGGCGCTTCTTCTCCCCCGGGCGGGAAACGGTAACGGGCCCGGCTCCCGCTCGTTGCTAACGGTTATTGCAGCCCCCGGCTTCGGAGACCCAAACCGAGCGTCGGTTTCTTGTAAATTAACCTCGAATTGATTAATTGGCAAATCACCCGCGGAAGAGCAGGCAAGTGTGGCACGCAGCCCGGGCTAGCTGTGCTCAGCATCCCAGGGCTGATGGTTTGGGAGGCACCCGTGGAGTTCTGCACTCACAGAGCTCTTCGTTACCACGATTCAAGCACGGAGACAAAAACACGCAAATAAACTGAGCTGGGAGTCCACACGTATCAAGATGCTGCATGTAAGTTGCTGCTGTGGAGACTGCAGCCCAAGAAACCAGTGCCCCAGGCAGCTTAGTATTGACATCTTGTAATGGATAACAAATTGAGTCACTTCAGTTACCCCAAACCAATTATTTGTTGGGTTAAAAGCCAGCAAGAAATTACGTGCTGCAAACAGGGAGAGCCTCAAGGGCTCCTAGGCTCTCCTTCCTTCTCAAATGAGAATTTCAGATGCCCTAACTCCACCAGCTCTTTATATTGCCTTCTTGTGTTTCCTTCCTGCTTTGATAGGTTCCACCTTCCCATGTCCACTCAAGCCGATTGCTTACTGGGAAGTTACCATTTAATCAAGGTTTTATCCAACCAGATAGAGCCCCCTAGTTCACAGAGCTGTGTTTTCTCCTTTGTCTAGTCATTCCTATGTATTTTGCAGTAGTAAAAGTTGCAAAACTGAAGAGATACCTGGCCTGTTGCAAAGGCTTCTGGAAATATCATCAAGAAACGGTTGACACGTGTGACTACAGAAAAGTACTACAGCAGGTAAAACAGCTCATCAAATGTTTACAGACTAAAACCATGGCAGGCCTGTCATGTCTGGCTTTGATTGCTTGTGATGAGATTAAGCTGAAAAAAGTTCAGCCACCTTTAAGCAATTGGGTCTGAGGTTTTCAAGTTAGTTTGGGCTGATTCTCCTATAATCTATGTGTGAACTCTCATGCCACCTTAAGAAGTGTGTCTGCTTTGTAACATGCTGAGATTGTACCTGTAGTTTCTGTACAGCATGTGATTAGCAGTGTACTCATGAGCTGGTTTATTTAATAAGTTGTTAGTGAGATGTCGGTAGCCTAGCATCCAGTTTTCTATATGGCTATTTGTAAAATCAAGTTTAATCAGTGTGGTCATGAGAGAACACAACCATTGTGTAATTGCTGCCAGTAATATGATGCAAGGCAGCACAGTAATGTGTTAGCCACTGTCTTAAGTTCTTCCTCAGCAGGCCTCACCAAACAGATTTTGTAATAATTTCTTGTATGAACAGCTGTAGCTTCTTCCATTGTGAAGACTTTTATCTTGTATTACGTCTGCCCCCTCACGATTTCAAACAGATTTTGAAGGAGCCTTACAGCTCTGGGACAAAAGGAAGATGCTGTTGCCTTATAGTTTGAGCCCTTTGACTTGTGGGTGTAGTGTGAGGCTGCAGCCTCAGTGAATCTTGACTCTAGATGAGAGAATATGGTGATGGTTGCCAGCTAAGGCGGAGAGCCCTGAGAGGATGGGGCTGATGGGTGTATGGGAAGAGGTTTGGCTGTAGCTCTGGGATGCTCTGGTGGATACTATGCCTTGAGCTACACATCTAGGATGAAGGGCAGCTGGCAAACGATTTAGAAATTATGTTGCTCTCTGGTAACAGTTCCCAGAAAGTGGACTAAACACTGCGGTGAAGACAAAACTACTGTTATTTTTAATCAGGTCCATCAGAGAAGACAATAGTGCCTCTTCTTGGTGAGGGCCTGTTCTGTGTTCTTAAAAATGTAAAGTTAAAATTTTTATTACATTATCAGTGCTTGATTCTCCCAAGAATTGTACTGATTTGCAGTGGTTTTTCTTTCGTGTTCTACTTTTTGGATATGCCCAAGGTTACCTTGCATAAATAAATCACTTCTTAAGTACACCTATATCTGCAAAGCAGAGTCCTTTGTTGTTTTGGGGCTTCTGATGGGTTTTGGTTGTTGTTCTGAAGCAAATCAAGCGTAGGTAAATCATGGAATACTTATTAGGTTGGTTGTTTTTGCTTATGCAAAATTGAACTAAATTGTCAGCCTGTCATCCCATAAAGCCTGAAAGACAGTTGGCCTTTCTGGTGTTTGATGGAAGCTGGGATTAAACCTCAGCAGAACTTTGTTGAGCATATTCATATATTGGAACAAATGAGCAGTGGAGAAGCTATCTCAAAAAAGGATTAAGGGATTGCTTGGCAGAACTACTTTCAAAAGGAGATTCATCTGACTCTGCTTTTCATGCTCTACAAAACACCTTTTCTGTCCTTTCTCTGTTGCATTTTTCCCAGAAAGAGCAATCCTCATTCACTGTTTGCGTGTCTACAGCATTGATGGGGTTTTGGTTATAGAAGCAGATGAAAGATGGTGCCAACTGTACCCATTGCACTGTTTCCTGAACTACTTGTGTGACAGGTAACACAAAACAATAATACATGTCAGTTTTTGCTACAAAGAACCCTTGAAATACTGAAAGGATCTAGAAATTTTATAGTAGTGTTGTCCAAGAAAATTTTTTATTCTACAAAAGCAAACTTGGTGTTTTTAAACAAGCTAAACCAGTTAGGTGTGTGGTTTCTGATTTTTTTTTTCCTGTTAAATTAACTTTCTGCTGAAAAATACAGTAGGCTTAGGCTTGTAAATTCAATGTGTAACTTGAACTTTCCCATGTTTACCAACCTTTCTGATTTGACCTAATTAGCATAAGCATCTGAGCCATTTTGCATGAGGTTTCCATAACTCCTTTGATGGAATTGGTGAATGGAGAAGGGAAGAGAACTGAGGTTTTTCTACACTATTTTGTCTGTCAGTTTTTTCACCCCTTTGTGCCTTCCTGGTGATACAGCTGTAACCTGACTGAACGGAGAACAGCTGCCTGTGCAGTCCCTGCCAAAGATGCTACTTGACTGCAGTTTGCACTGCAGCTGCCTCCTGCCCTTTCCACTTTCTGTCTCTTCCTTAGCTCTGCCAGCTGCCCTTTTTTTCAAATTTTTCTTAGTACAATGCAGGGCAACAGCTAGACTTGTTCTGTTAGCTAGGTTAAACTGGAGAAGAGTTTGTAACTGCATATGCTTATCTAATCTTGTGGTCAGCAGCACCCAGAGAGACTCATCAGGCTCTGTATTCGACAAGTAAGTTTTACCCAGCCACACATACAAACTTGTACATATTTATATGCATGAAGTCTGTTTGTAGTTGAGTCACTTTCAGAACCTCTCTGCTCATACAAACTTTGCATCTACAGAAGGCAAATTTCTCTTCCCCTTCAATGAAAAGACCCTTTTGTTTTCTGAGCGATCTGTTCTCTGCACAGATCATGCTGTGATTTTTTTGTTCGTCTTGTGGGTGGGTAACCAAAATTACAAACAGGGTAGTTGGTGAAACTTAACTTGCATCTTGATTATTCCTGGGCTTCTGTCTTCTTTTTTCCAACTTCAGTACCACTGCTCCTAAAGAATATTGGATTTATGACTATCACAATACCTCCCATCTGAACACTGCCTAGCTGCACTTATAGTGGGAGTCTGGGTTTTGTTTCTGTTTCGTATCACTGAAATATCTTCCTCCCTTCTGTCAGTGGAAAAATGAGGATGATCTCCTCTTTCTGGGGTACTGTCTCCCAAGGTACCTGATGGAGCGAGGAGGCTGTGTGCTCCAGCATCTAGGTTGGCTTTTTGGCCAGGATTCCTGGGACTTAACTTCATCACAGGAAAACAGAGTGACGTCCTGCCACTAATGTCATCCATTTCTTTTTTGCTTCAAAACTATTTGAGGTATTTTACCTCTACTGAGTGTGAGTACATGTGACTTGAGGAATTTTATGCTTAATTCAGTTCCAGATTCAGCTAGAATGTCTGAATCAAAATCGCTTCGCTTTAGCATGTTACTGTTGTCTGAGTTGCAGCAGATGTAAGATAACGTGCCTGTTCTTGTCCCATCCCTGCGTGCTTTTCTAAGTTTGAGGAGTTGAAGAATAGCTAGGAGGGGGTCCTTGGTCTTTTGCCTGAGGACCAGAACGCCAACTCAGGGGTCTGGAACAGTTGAGCTCTGGGAACTGCAGGCATCATCAATATTTCTAAATATTTAACTTGAACAAAGAAAATTGCTGACCTGCTCTCAACAAACAATGGTGAGCTATAAACAATGCGTGGTTTGTTTTTTTTATTCAGACAGTTATTTCTCCATGGAAAGTGTCAAGCAGCTGTCTACAAGGAATAACAGATGATCTTATGAATGAGGCACTTCCTTTAGCTTCCTTAGAGTCAGTCACTTTCTGTGATGGTCACTTACCCTCTTAGTGTACTCAAAATTCTAGACTCTACAGAGGCTGGATGACTTAATTGCCAAGATGAAAAGGGAACACATGTTACTGAGGTTCTGAATGACTGTGGTAGTGTTTTGCTCCAGAGAGGAAAGACTCCATGTGTAAGTCTGCAGTATTCACTTGGTACTAAACTAACCTCAAGTATGCTTGGATGTTATTGTTGCATTACTGCTGATTTAGGGAACAAATCTGTAAATGGTTCTTCTCTTTCAGTTTGTGGATTCTTAGTACATAGTTAACAGAGCATTGTGCCTGCTGACTTAAATGATTAGCCTGATTAGTCCTTCTAGCTAGTGGTTCTTAAAGCAGTGAACTTCTGTGTAATTGAAGATATGAAATTGCTCTTTTCATATGCTATCCCTTTAAGGCCATGAAATGACAAAACTATTTACCCTTCCACTTGAAGCTGGAAGGAGGAGTAGGTGTGGAGTTAAAATATACTGAACTTCATGACTTCTACATGACCTTCAGATTTCCAGAGTTTAATATCTTGATTGAAGCACTACTAAAACTCATTTCTGTTCTGTTTAAAATCTGAGAGCAGTAAAGGCCTGTAGCTAAGCATTCAGATCAGCCCAAACCAGTATTTTCTGCAAAGGAAATATTTGTTCTCTCCTTCTGTCTGGGTCGTGATAGATTCTATCACACATTTCAATACATTGTCTTAATATTGCGGTTTACATCTCTTTGTGTTTAGTAGTGCACTGTGTTGATAAGACTGGCTCTCTGCAGAAGTATGGTAGTGGCTCTTTACACACCTTAAACTCCAATTGTGAAAATACCTTGATTTTTCAAATAGATTATATAATTCATAATTCATAATTCTCAAGCCAGATACAGTTAACAGCTAACTGCATATATACAGTGACCTGACCCTCCGTCCTTCAAACTTAGCATTACGGCTGTCTTATGGCTACAGCTGGTACTTTCCAGAGTAGATTATCATTTGTTTGAGGACTCAAACTGTGAGATACTGTATTTAAAACAAGTGGAGGATTTGTGGGTAGATATCTTAAAAAGATTTGGATGATCAAGTATCACAGAAGCAAAACGCCTCTGAACTGGTGACTTGGGGGAAGAATAAAAATCTCATCTAAGATATTATCGTCTGTCACAGAGTCTCATCAAAATGAAACTGAAGTGTGTCAGACTATCACTAGTTGAATATTTCCTTAAGGTTATATTAAACATGTTAATTTTTAACATGTTGCAGACACTTTTTACCAGAGGAGCAGTAACTGACTTGCTCTCATGTTCCCATGTACTTATTTTATATTGCCATACTGGGAGCTCCCTCCTACATGGCTGTGTGCCTCACTAATGGCCTTCATCTCCTCTGGTATGATTTCTAGCTTCTTCCCCTGCAATACCAAGTGTGTATGTACTAAATATATAAATTCAGATATGTGGTCAACTTCTTTTCTTACAGGTGAGAACTCAGAGCATCTCCAAGAGCTTTCATTTGATAGAAGCATCAGATATGGATGAAGATCATTACTTAAAATCCATTATGTTTGGCTTTTGTGTTATTGCTCGGTTAATTAAAAATATTGAAAAGAAAAAGTCACCCTGACAGCACTGATTTATCATAAGACTCATGGGTTTTATGTTCATGTTTACAGTGACATACCCAGAATAGGTAAAATGTATGCCATCAGCCTTTTTCACAGTGAGACACATAAGAGTTTTGGAAAGTATATGTGCAGTTGCAGTTAAAGCACAAGGATAAAAGTAGCATATATGCCAGATGGAAAAACCTTATGACTTGGGAGCTGCGAACTATCATTCAGTAGTCAGTGGCAGTTCTGTCTGAAAGCAGCATTTCTAATTGGCTGTAGAAATACTGTTAGGTGTGAATAGCTAGGGAGCGGTGAAGTTGAGCGTGTCGGTTAAGGACCAAAATAAGCAAGAGTTCCCTAGAAGTGTAGGCTAAAGTTGCTATATCTCACCTCTGAATGAATAATACATGATGCTTTTCAAAATCATTGTACAGCATTTCAACTTCTCTCTTTATTCTTTTGCTTGTCTTATGTTCCCTTTTGTAACTTCAGTAGGTTGCCTCCAAAGCTCTGTGTTAGCTTCATAGCTCAGTGGAGTAGTGACTTCTTCAAAAGGGCACGTTAATCAAAGTAGAGGTGGTCAGTATGAGTAGTGGAGGATTAATTTGAAGTTAAAAGAATGAAAATATTGAGATATTTCCACCTAATGAACTAGAAAAACAGTATAGTAATTTGTCGAATCTGGCGTAATAGAAGTTAAGTTTTCAGCAGAAAAAGGTATTCCTTGCTATAAACTATACAAAGATCCTGTGATCCATAATATCTTTGAGCTAGTTTGTGGTTTTGAAAGAAGTAAGATCATTCTCTTAGATACCTTTTAAAGGAAGAATACTTGGCTTGCTTACAGCACCATTAATGAATATTCTAGTCATGTCTGATCTTGCCTTAACCTGCCTGACCCAGTGCAGCCAACAGCCTTGTCACCAAACAGGATGTGGAGCTGGCAACAACCCTGTGACCTACAGCAGAAATGAGTATGATGATTGCTTCGGGTCACTTCCTGCTCTTTCTCTGGTACCAATGCATGAGGAGTTGCATGGACGCTTTCAAAACATCCAAGAAGAAAACTGGTTCTGCTCCCAGACATGTAACTTAGGGATTACTGTAGAAGAATTTTTTGTTACTTCAGTCAGTCCACTTCCTCCAACACCAGGGTCCATGAGCAGAAATCACTGAGCTACAGCAATCAGCTCTTAGTGTAGAATGAATGCATAATAAATTAACCAGAAAACATGAAAACCAAAGCTAGCCAGCATCAGAGAAGAACGTGCTAATAAATATGCTCTCCAGAGACTTTGTCTAAACCTTTACAAATCCATTTGCTTCCCTTGCCAGAATCTAACAGAACTCTTTCTTGTAAGCTGAATCAGTAATCATGCTTTCAAATGGTATTTCATTTTTTCTTGTGGACTTCATTAATCTTCCACAAAGCATGCAGATGCACACACAGCCTAAATCTCTCTGAGTTGGCTTTCATGGCTTTTAGACACACAGAGATGAAACTTAAATACCGAACTGGAAAAAAGTTTGCTCTTCCCCTACTGTTTAACTTTTTTTGCAAATAAAACGCTGGACTTCAAGCTTAACCTAACTGAAACTCACAGTAGCAGGAAGAGTAAAATATTAGAGTGACAGAAGCAGAAAAAGCCTTCTCCCCGTTGTCTGTGGTGTCAGTATAGCTAAGATTCCTTTAGCCCAAACTGTGTAAATCTTAGACACCTTAAATATTTTGAGCTAAGCTGCGTAAACAGTCTAAAATAAAAATTAGCAAGAGCATCAAACTTTTGCATAACACTTGTGCTTTAGGTAATCAATCTATTGGATTAATAAAGTTGCTATTGTGTAAATCAGTCATAAGGTTGCTGAGTGTAAATTCCTGTTCTCTAATTCTGTAGGAGGTTTTTATATTTTGCTTACATTTGCATAAATGCACAACACACTTAAGGATTGTTTTAGCTTTTGAAGAGTCCTAGGAAAACTGAGTAAAAAGTACATACAAAATACCTGCCGGGGTCAGCTTAATAGTCTGTGGCAGCAGTGATGAGAGATGCTATTTAGGGACCACAGCAGCACAGCTGTTTGTGGGCTGTGTCCTTTCTGTTCCTCTGCCATCCATGGCAACGAGAGCAGGAATGGTGAAAGATACAGCCTTGCCTTTTTCTTTTGGGCAACAAGTTCACAAACAATGGCTTTTCCTAAACATACCTGCATAGGATTATTGGCTGTGGGTCTTTTTCCACCCTTTCTCCAAGTAAGATTATAGGTAGTACTTCTAACATGTAATCAAAGTGTTAGGTACTAGCAGTACCTAATGTCTCATTTGGGTTTTTTTGTCGTTGTTTTTTTTTTTTTTTAAACAGGAAGGTGAACAGAACTTCACTGCTTTTTAGGACTTGACTCCTGATGGGCAGGATTTTCTCTTGGCAGGAGTTTTTGAAGATTCACGCAGCGAAGGAAGAAACAGCCAATGGCGTCAGAATCCATGGTCCCAGAGCAGGCAAAACAACATCTCATAAAGGGAAAAAGGCGGCAGCAGCAGCAGCAAACTAGGTCTTCCAACAGTGACGGTGAAGAAGATGTCTTTGTATTTGAAGCAAATGAGGCATGGAAGGATTTTCACCGCTCTCTTCTTCACTTCTTTGAAGCTGGAGAGCTCTGTGACGTTACACTGAAGGTGATACTGTCACACATCCACTGCATTTAACAGTCTGAGATTAAGCTACAAATACATGTGCTGGGAGTGGCTATGAATTTGGGCAGGGGTATGGAAGCCATAGAATAGCTGTTGGATCTAAGGCATTGCTAGATATGCTTGTGGTTTTTTTTCTTATTTAGGAAGTTTACAACAGAAATGTAAACACTTAAGTTAGTGGCAGTCTAAGAGAGCAAGTGCCTGATTTTGACCTCACCCGACTTGTCTCTGAGCAAGTTCCCACAGTTGATCGATATATCATTGCGCAGTTTCAGCTCCTTGTAGCCTCTTTTGTTCTCACACACTTTCATCCCCAATTTTAATTTACTTTTGCATTCTGTGTTGCTCTGCTAGATATTTCCTAGCAAACAGGAACATATCTGGAACAAATCTAACTTCCAACATTCTCAAAGAATGAAAAAACCACAAACCTAAAACAACAACCCAGACAATTATGTTTTACAGCTAATCAAAGAATAAAGGAGGATGAAACTACTTTTGTGACTTGGATAGCATTGCTTTAATGCATTCTTTGTTACTTAGCTGCATATTACTTATATTCTGATCACAGTAAATTTATATCCAGCATCTGTAACTGGTTTCCAGCACCTACAAGTATTAGGTGTTGCTTAGCTAGGCAACTTAGTAGTGTGAGTTATTTAAGAAAAGGAGATGAATCATATCTCCTATACCAAGAACAAATGATGGATGCCTTTAAGAGAAATTGTTTGCCTGCCAGTTTTACTCTTAGGAAAATCCTTGACAGATGTGTGTCCCTGGCGTCCCTCTGGTAGGCATCTCATCTTCTAAAACTGGGAGACAGTGGAAATCTCCAAGAGGAAGAGGGGTTCTCTCCCTTCCACCCCAGTGCACAACAGAAGTAGAACAAGCAAAAACATTTCTGTTAGAGAACTCATTAACAACCCTCCTCTTCCTTTTTCCTGACCTCAGCCTCACCTTTCTCCCTTTCCACTCACCCTTGCCAAAAAGGCAGAAAGTCTTGTTTTATAAACACAGTTAAACATATTCTCCTGCTAGGGAAACCTGCCTTGGCAAATACACTTACTGTGGCTGCAGTTTAACTTGCCCTAAGTTAGGCTTGGTATTAATGTTCATTTGTATTATTTGTGTGGAGCTACTTTGGTAATCTAAGAATATTAGATTGCACGACTGGGCTTCCAGCCCTCAGGTAGAGAGTGTCATCTATGGAGCAACATACCATAAGGCTTCCTAAATCACTGATTTTCAAGGAACTGGTAACTATATCTTGAAGTAGGGTTTTCTGGAGGGCTTGATTTTTCTTTCTGTAGTGTTCAGGCATTTCTCATGTTTTAAGAATAACTACATCTCTACTGAGTGACCTCTGATAGTGAGCAACTGAGGCACTGCTGTTGTCAGAGCAAGTATTGATTTAACTTCTGGCTCTTAAAATATGGTAGTTCATAACTGGAGGGGAATTCTGATTTTTAAATACCAGGAACATGCTACATCTTTAAAATGAAGCAGATCTGGTCAGAAGAGTGAAAGCACTTAATTCAAAAGAAAAGTCTGATTAGAGAGCATGGGATGATGGGCAGAATAAAAAGCTCTGGAGGTGAGAATGGCCTCGGAGCTTTCCCTGATACAGCAGACCAGCTGGTAGCATGTTTTTGCATTAGTTGGAGTGCCAACACTGTAACAGTGATCATCTGTGGGAGCACACGGAGACTTCCTCTGCTCCAAGGAGTTAACATCTGGAATTCCACCTCCTGTACTGCTGCTGTCATATACAAACAGCTCCCTGTTAGGAGATGGAGAGTGGCCGGTGCATACCAGCTGCTTTTCTCCTGCTGGTTTGGTTTTTGTTCATTTGGTAGGTCTATGAACTGTTCCTTCTGGAGTGATCTTGTTAACTCACGCTGAACCATTCATCTTTTTGTTTTGTTTAATCTGCATACTCCTGCATGGGTGTTTGCTTTCTGTACTCAAGTTACTGCTCACCAGGCAGGTTACACTGGTGTCAATAATGCACACTTCTAAAAAGGGTAGAACAACTGTGTATTGAATCAGAGCTAAAAAAAATTCCAAAGTATCCTTTATAATTTAACATCCTTTTTTTCTTTTTAACTTGCAAGACAGCTCACTGTAACACCACCTGAAAATGAACATGTAATTCGAGTCTGTTGGGGAAACTGGTTGCTTAACATGGCCATCCCATTATGTTAGTGCAGGCTGCAGAGTGACAAAGGCTGCAAAAAAGCACTCCTGTAACACAATTAAGTAGTGGATTTACTTAATTTACATTTACCTTCCAATGTCATGGAATTCTAGAATTTTGTAAGTGAAAAGCTTGTTTTGCACTTTCTGATCAGAATTTTGAACAATACCTTGTCTTAATGGGGAACACACTATCTCTTGTGGCTAACAGCTTCTAAAAGTCTTGAAGTGATTGATAACTTTTAATAATCCCTGTAACAGCTGTTATTACTGTGGTTTTACATGAATTTGCTTCTAAAACAGCATTCTCAATTCCTCAATAGTTGTAAAAGTCCAGAGGTTTTAATTCAGTAGTCTAAAAAACATCACTTTATAATTTTCCCCCCCAAGTATCTGAATGCACATAAACCAGACAAGTGCCTAGCAGTCTCCTCCTGTCTCCATGATGCATCTAGAAGGTTCCTAAGGATGATTCATTTTAAAAATAGAATGAGGCTCTTAAAGAAATGCAAGTTCAGTGGATCAGTGCTTCCTTGTGTTATGTATGCCCTATGTTGTGTTAGGTATGTATGTTATGTATGCCCTATGTTGTGTTATGTATGCCTTCCTTGTGTTATGTATGCCCTATGCTGGCATACAAGTTACAGCTCAGATCTGCTTAGAATAATGTTGATCTAATATCAAAAGCACAGGGAAATGGAGTTAATTTGTTTGAACAAAATATAGTAGCTCAATGCATATCGAGTTCAGAATTCTTATTTCAGCTTAACTGAATTCCTTCCATAGCTGAAACTTACATTCCAGTAAAAGTTTGGGGTTTTTTTTTTTGTTTGTTTGTTTTTTCAGGTTGGTTCAAAGCTTATCTCCTGCCACAAGCTGGTGCTAGCTTGTGTTATACCTTACTTCAGAGCCATGTTTCTTTCAGAAATGGCTGAAGCCAAGCAGACGTTGATCGAGATCAGGGACTTTGATGGCGATGCAATAGAAGACCTAGTGAAGTTTGTGTACTCCTCCCGGCTTACTCTGACGGTGGATAACGTCCAGCCTCTCTTGTATGCTGCTTGCATTCTTCAGGTGGAACTGGTAGCCAAGGCGTGCTGTGAATACATGAAGCTGCACTTCCATCCCTCCAACTGCCTGGCAGTCAGGGCGTTTGCTGAGAGTCACAACCGCATCGACTTGATGGACATGGCTGATCAGTACGCTTGTGAACATTTTACAGAAGTGGTGGAGTGCGAAGACTTCGTGAGCATGTCACCACAGCACCTCCATAAACTCCTGTCCTCCAGCAACCTGAACATTGAAAATGAAAAGCAAGTTTACAACGCTGCTATCAAGTGGCTGCTAGCCAATCCACAGCACCATGCTTCGTGGCTGGATGAAATACTTGCGCAGGTAGGGTGGACCGAGGTGCCGGGTGCCTGTGTCATCCCTGGTTTAGTTGTATAATCAACTTAGTACGTAGGCAGATCTCAAGATGAAGAACATGCTTAGCAGTTGGTGCCTCATCTTGGCATTCACAGTTGTGAGTTGACAGTGGAAGCAGGTTAGATCTCTGGAATATATTAGGAAAAAGTCATATCCTCCAGTTTCTGTAGAGAGAAGAGTACTCTATGCTCATGGCTGGGGGGTGGGAAGCCAACAGAAAGCCGCACCTGTGTTAGAGTAGAAACTTCTTCAATTTGCACACAGTGGAGAGCAGAAAGCCATTACTTGGTTTGATACTACTACAGCCTGAAACACTCACTTCCCTTCCTAGTAAGCAGTTGTATCTAAGAAAGGAGAGCAAAGCTGCTGAAGAGGTTTTTGACATGGCTAGGAAAGTAAAACTGTAACAGAGATGTGTCACATCAATTTGTGCTACTTCTAGAATGTTCCATGTATTTAATTAACAAAGGACATTAACAACTAACAAAAATGTGTTAGACCTACAAGCAGGCTAGGAAATGCACACTAGACCCTTTAATGCTCACTAGGCTGGCACTGCTGATTACCTGTAGGATCTGAAAGGATTTTGCATTTTAATTGTCTAGGCTTCATACGAGTCCACTGCTTCTGAAAGAAACATGTACAGGTATAAAAAGGTCACTCAGCTGAACCTAATTAAACACCCTTCAGACCTCTTCCCATCAAAGCTTTAGGTACTTCAGTTATCCAAGCTCCGTATGTGCTGCTTATGGGAGTTTAAAATCCAGTATTTGAGTCAGGTCTGGAGAACCTCTGCTGGGGAGGAGGGGGGGTACGTGCCATGCTCTGCAAAACGTCCTGTGTTTCTTAGCAGGTAGGATCAACTGTGCTGTTTCAGTTGTCACTGACGTGGAATATTTTGCATTTGACAGAATTGCTAATATTGGCATCATGTGAGTTACAAGAGGCCCACTAACGTGCTGCTGTCATTGTCTTCATGCATCATTTTTCACATTTCTGGTAGAAGATCACAACTGTTTATTAACTGTTTTCCAAAAACCTTCAGTTTGATCTAGACTAGTATGAGGTTTTTGGTACACACGCCACCCCCCCCCTTCTTTAGTACGCTACAATTAAATTTACAGGCAATATAATTTGAGATTTTTCTTTTTTTTAAAAAGATTGATTTTTATTGTTCAGTTATGCTAGCAGATGAGATTAACTGCTTTATTCTGTTCATGGAAACCAGACTCTAGAACAAAGCAATGAAGAAGTAAACCCCTTCCTGTAAATATGGGTTATTTGCCAGAGTATATGGAGCCTTTACTGCTAGCAGAAAATGTGACTGGGCTTCTGGACAATTATTATCCACATCCTAATCAGCCTTACGGGTTTCGTTGTTACAGCGAGGTTCTGAATTGGTCAGCCTTGAGTTCTTACCACATCGCAAACCTCATGAATGTTAGGAGGGCTATGGTGGTGCTTTTAACCAGACTAAAATAAGCCGGGACAAAGTAAAGGAAGAAGGGGGACTGAAAGCAAGTGGGTAAGGAAGAAGCAGTAGAGACACTTGCTTACTTGAAGACACGGACACTTGTCAGCCATAGAACAGCACCATCCTGCTGCTCTGAGAAGAACTGGAGATACTGGACTTCCTCACCATTGCTGCTGAGCTGACTGGGAGCCGCATCCAAACCCCAGGATGTCAGATGGTGGTTTAGCTTCAGTTCCCCCCTGCTAACACCTGTCTCACCTTTGCAGCTGATTGTACTTCATGTTCCTCACTGTTTCTCTTACAAGGACAAAAGAAAGGTTTGCTGAAATGAATGACCATGGGGAGGAGGGGAGGAGGATATTTCAAGGCAGCCTTGGAGAGGCTGACCTTATTTTGGATCTGTCCTGCCACTGGGGATTGCTCTGGGCAGTGACCACCTCAAGCCTTGCCCAGAAAGAGCCTTCTGCTCCTCAGCCTGGTCACCAGCTCTTCTGGGGAACCACAGGAAGGACTTGGGGAAGGAAACTATTAGCTCTCAACTTTTTTTTCTAAATCCTGTAGTCTTGTCAAGTCCGCAGTAGAGAAAGGTATTACTGCGCTTGCAATACCTCCTGAATAGACACTTAGTTCATGCTGACAGCGTTTCCTTTTTGAGTTGCCACCCAAAGAAAATGAACCATTATAGCAAAAGCCCTCTTATGCTGGCATAGCAATGAGGTGAAAATTCATACCCTCAGGAGACTAACCTGACATGGTCTGTCCTGGTGAAGTCACCAATGCTGCCTGCATCATGCCAGGTAGATGCAGTTGCAGTACAGGCAGTGGCACTTCTCCTTCCTCTGCTCAGCCTGGGCCAAGGGACAGTTCTCCACTGCTGCTTAAATGCAAATGGTTGTAGCAAACGTTTGACACTAAAAAGAACTGTTTGTATCACTGTTGTTCTGGAAAAAAAAAAAAAAGCCGCTCTTTTTAGTGAAGAGCGCGTGGCTGGCAGCTGGCTCAGACGCTGCCATCTGTAACGCGTGCGTCACTGCAAACGGTGAGACCCAGCCAGTTACTCCAACTCTGTTCATTTCTGTCAGGTACGTCTGCCTCTCTTGCCCATTTGTTTCCTTATGGGTGTTGTGGCAAAGGAAGAGATTGTCAAGCAGAATCTAAAATGTAGGGATTTGCTGGATGAAGCAAGAAACTACCACCTTCACCTGAGCAGCAGGGCAGTGCCAGACTTTGAGTACTCCATTCGCACAACACCAAGGAAGCAGACTGCTGGTAATTAAATGTGTGTCTGATTATCCCGTAGGGAGTGGTGTGGAGAAAAGGCAGCACATCTGTGCAGGGTTCCATAGCTTGGTATAAATGGTTGTTAATGACGTCACGCAAAATTGTGAAAGCCATTTTGTACCTCTCGGGTAATTAGGGAATGTGATGTGCTGCATTTTCCTAGCAGAACTTTAGCAGCCATTTTCTTTCTTTAAGGCATTATTTGCTTGTCCTGATGGGCTGCATCTGTATTAAAGCTAGAACTGTTAAGTATATTATGACCAGGCAGTATGCTCAAAGCTATACCAAAACCAGCGGACACTTACCTTTTGGTGTGAGAAGGTTGAGCTAACTTTTAAACTCTTTGGCAAACCTACACCAAGAGTGATGAATATTAGACTGCAAATACCAATCTTTACATTGCTACAATTAACAATCTGTTTATCTCCCTGAGCAAAATCACGAAAACTGTATTTAGAATATGCACTGGTTTTGCAAGAGCACAGGTATTGAATTGCTATAGCAGCATGCCAAGCAAAGGCCAAAATCCAGCATCCAATTATGCAGGGCAGTGACTGTGCCCCTTGAAGCAAAATACAACCTCCTGAACTACGTAATTTTCAGTTCACTCTGCTATACAACTCTGGCCCCTGTCTTCTTGCTAGTTTTCTGGAAACTTGTTTTTCTTCTTCAGGTGTGCTGTTCTGTGTTGGTGGTAGAGGTGGATCAGGTGACCCGTTTCGCAGCATTGAATGTTACTCTATCAGTAAGAACAGCTGGTTCTTCGGCCCTGAAATGAACAGCAGGAGAAGGCACGTGGGTGTGATCTCTGTGGGAGGTTAGTAACCCTGTTCAAGCAACCCTATTCAAAAGCCACTTGTTTGCTCCTTTTGCTAGAATCAGTACTTTTACTAAATAAATCTGCCTTGCAATGGCTGAACTGTTGGGCATTCTTCAGTTTAGTAAAAGCTTCCCCATGGGGTTCTTGATTCTGAAAGAATCTGAGACTGCACTTACTGGAAAAATGTTACTGTGAACGGAGAGAGTTGGGGTTGTTCAGCCTGGAGAAGAGAATGCTCCAGGGAGATCTTATTGCAGCCTCCCAGTACTGAAAGGGGACTTATAAGAAAGATGGGGACAAACCTTTTAGTAGGGCCTGTTGCACTAGGACAAGGGTTAATGGTTTTAAACTAAGAGAGGATAGATCCAGACTAGATAAAAGGAAGAAATTTTTTTACAGTGAGGGTGGGGAATCACTGGCACAGGTGGCCCAGAGAGGTGGTAGATGCTCCCTCCCTGGAAGGGTTCAAGGCCAGGTTGGATGGGGCTCTGAGCAACCTGATCTAGTTGAAGATGTCCCTGCTTGTTGCAAGGGTGTTGGAACTAGATGACCTTTCAGGTCCCTTCCAACCCAAACCATCCTATGATTCTTTGAACTGTTAATAGGTGATGTCATTTCTCTTTAATCAATTTGTAATAAATGGCTATACACAGCAGAGTCACACAGAACTTGTTAGTACTCTTACTAGCTCCCTTCATACTTAAATCCATACAGGCAAGTCACTAAGGCCATACTTCTTCCAGGATGTGTCTCCATCTTCTGAAACCAGATCCATGCAGTCCAGAGCATGGATGCATGCTCTGCAAAATATCTGCAACACTATGTAACTTTTTAACTTCTTTAATTGGAAGACAGAATTTACAACTTGTTAGATAATTAAGTTTGCTGTTGGAATTCTTAAAGACAAGCAAATAATCAGGACTGTATGGATATACTACATTTTCCTGTGATTTTAACATTACTTAGGAAAGCTTAGCACCCACAGTACAACTTCCCCTTCTTCACGGTAGCCCCTGTGTTGCTACAGCAGAACGGAGATATTTTTTTTCCCCCCGTAGAAGATTCAGAGTAACCGATATAAATGTTCTAAACTGATCTGACCTTCAGTACTCAAATTATGGGAAGATTTATTTTGTCTGTATATCTCAAGCTTTGTATAAAAGCCCCCGTTAGAACAGATCTCTGGTTGAGTACTGCGTATAAAAATGTAACGTCTGTACTTAGTAAAATCCTGATACTGAAAACATTTGAAAACGTTAACCTCTATTTGAGCTTTTTGTCTCCACATACCTAAATGAAAACTGAAATGTTGCCAAGCAGTCTCTGTATCGAAAGAGGTGTGTGTGTTTCAGGTAAAGTCTATGCAGTAGGTGGACATGATGGAAATGAACACTTAGGAAGCATGGAAGTATTTGATCCCCTCACAAACAAATGGATGATGAAGGCATCAATGAACACGAAGAGGTATGTGTCCTGTGATCCAAAATTCAAGTCTTAAGTCTGTGATACATCCTTTCTTGCTGATGCTGAAATACATCATGTTTGTCCTGCCTCTATTTTGGGTTCCAAACTGTGGTATCTTTAGGATCTTTTTTTTCCTATTTTGATTCTTTATGCTATTAAACACCTTTATTTACTAGCTGTTAAAGCAAACACAAATCTGCATCACATACTTGCGTACATCACATATTTGCACAAACATAAAGTTGTGCATAACACACTACAGGTATTTCCCGGTGCCAAACTGCATCATCCCTCTCTCCAGGGAGAGGTCCTGACTGGGAACGTGGGTTATGTTTACATTTTGGCTTTCTTTTGTACTCTTCTATCCTTTTCTTCTTTTCTTTTTTTTTTGGGGGGGGGGGCGCTGGCTTCTGAGCAGAGAGATCTTCTGACTCCAGCCATACTTACATTCTGACAGTCAGGGCCTTTCTGCTATGCCCAATAAAGAACTTGAAACTGATTAACTGGCTCTGTGGGGTTTTTGTTCTTTTTAAGAATGAGCAAGATAAATGCCAGCAGAACAGGCACAGTGAAATATTTCATGCCCAGGAAACGAATAGCTGCTAATGTTTTTGCCACAAAAGGCCAGAAGCACTAAAATGCTGAAAGTCAGACTAAGAACGTTTCTTGCCTTCTGACATTTAAGATTCTTTTAAGGAGCTACTGGACTGCGAGATTTGTAATTTTTTGTTTCTAATGTCATTAAATCAACCTCCTTAATTCTACATTCTGTTTTTTAATTTGTTGTAATGTTTAATTTGCATTGTGTACAAGTAGGAGAAAAATACTGAGCGTGGCAAAGTCCTAAAGCTATTTGTAGCTGTGACCTAATCAAAGTAGAAGACTCAAGCTCCTAGAACACAGCTTCTTGCTCTTCTTCCTCCCCCCTGCCACCACCTCAGGGCATACTCTCTGCAAACATCAGCCCTAGCTAATTTCTGTGGCACTTCTTATGCAGTGCCTTGGTAAATGAAAGGGCCGCTGTGGCTGTGCCTTGGCTACACTCCACTCCTCCTATTCATGGAGGTGATGTCAGGTTACTTAGTTGAGAAAAAACTGCCATCACTGACGGTTATATGTCAAGGCAATTTAAGATAAGCCCAGAATATTGCAACAAAAGATTGTGCCTCCCTTGCTCCTGCCTAAGCATCTTCCAACCTGTCCTCTGTGTAGTGAGACAAGAATTTTCTCAGTGAAATGGTAAATCACCCGTCTTGCTGGTTCAAGGGAAAACTTAATGCTTACATTCCAGAACACACTTTTCCTGTTGTAGTACTGATGGTACTCTCCTTATCAGTAGACTCAGCAGAAAAAAAAAAATCTGACAACTATTTTACCACAGACTTAATAGAAAATAACAGAATGGAAGAAATTGCATTTAATTCTTGCTAGAGTTCAGTCATCTACCATCCAGCACAGGTTTGCCTTCTAATATGTATTAAAATAATTCCCAAATTGTAGCAGCAGCTACACCAACAAAGATAAAGCCAGGAGGTTTTGGTTCTCCATCAGACTCAATAAAACAAGACAGGAGGTGTAAAATTCAGTACCAAGATAGCAAAATCAAACAATTTAATATATCCAACCATGTAAGTAGAGGACTTGGGCCTTAGGTGATATTCAGTCAAAACAGCATTCCATGACACCCTGGGTTTGTTTGTTTTTTTTTTTTTTTAAAAAAAACCCAAACAGGAGTTTGTCTCTCTGCAGCCTTAAAATATTCTGGCTGCAACGCTCCTGTTTGTGGATCACACAATAACACAGAGGTGCCTGGGAGAGCTGAGGTGAAGTTAAGGTCAAACTAGAACCCCTGTAATGGGAGGCTGCAAACATACCAAAGACTTTCAGGCTAAAGCTGCAAGACTGACACAGGTGTGCAGAGGCCAGCCACAGTCCCTGGTCATTATTTATTATCAACTTCACTTTCAAAATGGTCATTACTTTTTTCCCCCCATAGTTTGAAACGGGTGCCAGTCAGGTAACATTGTACTTGATGTATTTTTCCCATTCCCTTTTGCACTGTGGTTTTCTTAGGAGAGGAATCGCTCTCGCCTCCCTTGGTGGCCCCATTTATGCGATAGGAGGTTTAGATGACAACACTTGCTTCAGTGATGTGGAAAGATACGACATTGATTCTGACCGATGGAGTGCAGTCGCCCCAATGATCACTCCCAGGGGAGGAGTTGGCTCCGTAGCCCTTGTGGTAAGTGACTGTTTCCTCCCAAGTCTGGGGGCAGAACACAAGATTTTAAGCAAAATGCAGCTGGTGGGTCTGAGCACCTCCAGTCATCAAACTCCTATGTAACTGGGCAAAAGGTGAGGCTATTTCAGATAAGGCACATCTCAAATTGAACTGCACTCCCTGTTTCAACAGTGTTTGAGGGACTGGGAGCAAGTACCAGGACCCTTCTAACAACGTCAGACTAATGCTTCAGGTCTTGTTCGGGAGACTGTGGTTTTCATGGTTACTCTGTTTAAAGGTACTGAAGGCATCTGCACTTTATTTCCCATTGCTATGTATGCTCTGCAAAATATCTGCAACGCTATGTAACTTTTTCACTTCTTTAATTGGAAGACAAAATTTACAACTTGTTAGATAATTAAGTCTGCTGTTGGAATTCTTAAAGAAAAGTAAATAATCAGGACTGTATGGATATACCATGTTTTCCTGTGATTTTAACATTACTTAGGAAAAGCTGAGCATATACAAATAGATTGCAAACAATCTTTCTTGATACAACTGTTTTCCAGAACCACGTTTATGCTGTGGGTGGCAATGATGGTGTAGCATCTCTTTCCAGCGTGGAAAAATATGATCCCCACTTGGATAAGTGGATAGAAGTAAAAGAGATGGGCCAGCGAAGAGCTGGCAATGGTGTCAGCGAGCTCCACGGCTGCCTGTACGTTGTTGGTGAGTAGGGCTGTGGCATTTTGCAGTGCTGCTTCTGCCAAGTGCTGGCATTTGGAAAAGGCCATTGTTGCTAGAGGAACTGGGGAACAGATAGACCTGACCTGTACTTTGTGTTCTCGGGCAGGAGAAGCAAGCAAGCACAACCAGGCCACGCTTAAACAAAGGTCTGTGAGCAAGGAGATAAAAAGCTGTGCCTAACCCACATTTCCGAAGGGCTACACTGTTCAGGACAATGTGTCTATACAGAAAATCCTCTCAAGGTTCACTTATCTCATGATTCATTTCAGGAAAATGATTCTCAAGTTCACAGACTTTTAAAGCACTCTAGTTCTATTTGGAGTGTAGACAACAGCAGCTTTTTCACACAGTTATTCCACTGCCTGTTGTCCTAGGCCTGTCTTGTTCTGCTCTACTTTGCACTTGCTTTCCTGAGGGATGAAGATGCCAGGTAGATACGCTGCAGTGAGAGGTGCAAACCTTTGCCTTGTGTATTATCCTGAGTGATTGAAAAAGTTTTGAGTAAAATGTTCCTCTGACATCTGCCCCAGCAAGGGGGATGCATCACTGAAATCCTACTTGAGGATTTTTTTCCTAGTCAAGTATTCAGTAATGCTGTAATTTGAAAACACCACAAGAGTGTGTTTTGCTTAAGCCAAAACTAAGTTCAGGACCATCCTTTTACTGGTCTTAGTTATTTTCTATTCTAAATGAGGAGCTGTTTCATTTTAACTATGTGTAAGATGAATTCAAGGTGAAAATAATAGAAATACCTCTCCTTGCAACTCAACTAGAAGAAAACTGTCACTCTTGGTGATGCCTATACAGTGACAGGAGGGAGAGCTGTCAGATTCATTTTTAGGAGCTTATAAAATTCATGTCAAGAAACAGAGCTGGATGCTGGCTCACTGAATGCTGGGAACAGCCTGATAACGTCAATCCTGGATATCACCAGCGCTGGAAGTGGCTAAAAACTGATAATGTGATGACTTTTTGCAGGTGGCTTTGATGACAACTCTCCACTGAGCTCGGTGGAGCGGTTTGACCCACGTAGTAACAAATGGGAATATGTGGCAGAGCTTACAACTCCGAGGGGTGGCGTTGGCATAGCGACACTGATGGGGAAAATTTTTGCAGTTGGAGGTCATAATGGCAACACGTACCTGAATACAGTGGAAGCGTTTGATCCCATAGTGAATAGGTAATTTAAAATTTGTTGTTTAGCTTAATATGACAGTGAAACCTGTCTATATGAAAACACAACACGATAGAAATAACATGCAACAGGTTGTTTCCTGGTAATAATTGAGTAATATCCATAGCTAACGATGCAAGAGTGCTGCTAATGCCATTAGGTTATTCTTGTAAATATTTGAGCACCTCCTCCTCTCCATCCCTTGTCCTCTTCTCTTTGTTCAGTAAGAATCTACATTCTTCTAGTTGTTTCAGTCTGATTTTGCACTAAATTTACCAGAGAAATAATAATGAAATAGCGGGATGTGGTTTTGTGCAGAGTAAATAGCTAAGCTCTATAACACAATTTCAGACACAGAAAAGAGATAATTTCAAGTTGCTCAGGAAGGACAGGAACTTACTTTTCTTCCCCTCTGCCACTGTCTAGGTGGGAACTCGTGGGCTCTGTGTCACACTGCCGAGCCGGGGCAGGCGTGGCCGTGTGCTCCTGCCTCAGCAGCCAGATCCGGGATGTGGGCCAAGGATCCAGCAATGTTGTTGACTGCATGTGAGCTCTGCTGCCTCCTCCAAATTCCAGAGGAATGACAGTAGGGACACAGCTTTTAAATGCTGCATTTTATATGGTAGGTTAAGAAATAAAACCAATACATTTTCTCTGTGAAAATGTTACCTTCTGCAACTGTAAAGCTTTTGGTGGCTTTCTATCAACAGTGATACAGAAAAGCCTGTGAAGACATGGAATAAAAGTGTCACTCACAGGTAAAAACCTGCCAAAAGCTGCAATCATCCCATTTTTGAAAAAGTTGTAATTTCAGAATTGTGAGGCAGCTGTTGCAGGGACTTGTTTCTGAACTATAAACCAGGCATGGTGTAAGGAGAGAGAGTAGCAGCTAGTGCTGCTGAGCCTTACCCCACAGCCCTGCTACATGTTTTCTGGAGGACTTGAGTGCCATTTAATATAACTTATTTTCAGGAATATAGTTTTAAACATTTCCTAATTGTACAAGAAGCTTTGTAACACAAAGCATCTCAAGTTTAGAAGGTAACGACATCCCTGTTGCACCCTAAGATAACTGGAGCAGAGAAGTTGACTGCCCGCCTCCCAGGGGACTGCTGGCAGCAGTGGAAACTGCAGGTACTCAGTCTGAAACCTGTCTTTCAATGGATTTTCTCAAACTAATACACTAGTTAGAAAGCTGAAAATTATTCCTGATCTGAGTTTAGCCACTGGAGTACTGGAACTCTCAAGTCTTCAATAATATCTGTAGTAACTAGAGGCAAGTTTCTGTGAGAGGTCGTTCCTGAAGTAACCTGTGTAGTTTATCTTACTTCAGGATGATAGTGTATGAAAATGTAGGCTTCAGCGGTGAAATCACCATTTCAATACAATGTGAAAACACATCATAAAAGTTGCAGTATTCTGTAAAGACCTTTAAATGCAACTCTGAGATGGCAGATGCAGTTTCAGTATCCAGCAGCAACTCTGTGGTAATTCTAGAGGTATTGGCTCTTTTAAGATAGTTAAGCCAGGAAGATGTAGCCTCAAAAGGAGGTAGATAACTTCAGGCTTACATAAATAAAAGAGAATCAGCAACAAAAAGGAGTGGAAATAAACCAGTACTTACATCAAAAAACTGAAAGAGGAACTGCACACGTGCTGTGTACAAAGGCTCCTTGTTATGCAGACAGAAACCCTGAATTCCAAGCAAAGTTTAGCTGGGGAGACTGAAAGTTCCTGTTCCTGTTCCTGCACCCCCCTCAACAGACCAACTGACAATCCTTTGTGACCAAAAATCCTTTGTTACCAGGTTGTTCCAAGTGACCAGGGAGAGCAGCAAACTTCTGTGTTCAGTAGCAGGCAAGAGGCAGGACAGTGGAGCATCAGGCCCTGTCGTGTTTTGCTGTTGAGTTACCATCATGCAGCTTTTCTGTTTCAAATGGCTCTGGTAGTGCCCAGGGACAAAGCGAAAGGTACTGTAAATAATGCAATGTTGCAATAAAACATTTGTACTTCAAAGCACCTTGTTTATAGTGTGACTGGTGTGCGCTGTGGTGGGGAAATGTTACAGCATCCAGTATTCTTTGGCATCTGCAGAGCGTGGTTCTCGCCAGGAAGCCTTGGTCAGCAGGGAAAATCCTGTGTTACAGCCACGAGCTGCCACCCTTCTACCCCCTGTGAGGATGTGGTCAGCCTTGATCTGGCTAGGAGGGGTGAAAGGAAGAGTGCAGGTTCCCTCTCTGGAACCAAACAGGTTCTTCTATGGATGTCCTGGCTAACAAGGAAACTTAAGGGGAAAAAAAAAAAAAAAAGGCAAGTTTTCCACTAAGTGCCACTGATCGTGGCAACAAGCAGCCTGGCAGCGTTGCTTGTCAGCTGATCCATTTCTCCTCTTGCTGGGAAAGCACTGGCACCCATGGGTGCAGCCCAGATCTGGCAATCACCTTCCAGGCACCGAGGGGAGACGCGTGCATTCAGCAGGGAAATAGCTCCATTACTGATCTTGCATGGCACCAGAACTACAAATATTTTGTGCAGAACTTGTTAGAAATGTTATTGCTGGAAATGTGACAATGGTGTTGAAGTATCAAACCCGAGAAGTATAGGATTGCTGTGGCAACAATATAATGCCTGACCTGCGTCTAAAGCTGTTGTGATTTAAGGCCAGAAAACTCGTTTTTCTTCTAGCATTCACAACAAGATCACGGTGAGGCAGAAGTTACACTGCCCTCCCCAGGCTGAGGGAGCAGAGCCACCCGTCCTGGTTCCCCGTGCTGAGGCAGCCCTGCAGCAGCAGCAGGCCCCAACTCCCACCACCTCTTCTCATTTAAAACTAAACTCAGGATTTGCAACGGCAAAGCCTTTAAACGTTCAGGGTCATGAAAGCACTGCGTCTAAATGGGATGCATGTCTGATGCCAAATGTGGAATTGTTACTGCTTCTGTTGATGTTTTTCCTGCATCTAAAAGCCTTGACATCACCCATAAAAAAATCAAAACCCCAATTATGTCTATTAGTACATCCTTTAACCACAAAGAAAAAAGTCATTTTGGAAGAATCAAGTGTGTTCACAGCCACTCACCTCAAAGTTTCCAGCCTGCTGATCTTAACCATGTCCTGGGCTTCCGGGAGGAGCAGGACCAGGCTCTGGACCGCTGCTGACCAGCCCCCTCTGGGCCCCGCAGCCACCCTCGCACACGACGCTGCTCCTCACCCCTGGGCTTGGGCCGCGGCCTCCCAATTCCTCCCAAACCATTCCCCTGCCAAGGGCAGCGCTCCCTCTGCTGTGCCACCCACAGCCGTGTTTGCCTTCGGGAGATTTTAGTCTGAGCTCTTTTATGTATGGAAGATCAATACAAAGACATTTCCCTGTAATTTTATTATATTAAAACAGTAATTTCCAGATTTTATTTTTTTCAGGACTTGCCATATCACCATGATGATGCAAGGACCTTGCATGTATAACTTTGTACCTATTTTTTAAAATTACGTCCTTTCAAAATAACCTTAAATTCATACCTTATTATTTACATCCAAAGGGGATGGTGAGAATTTGGTTATACTTTCACAGCTTTGAATGCTTTTTAATATTGCTCTTCCCCAAAGGCATCTCATTCCTAATAGAGCTATCCTTGCAGCAGAACTGTTTGGATTAGACATCCTGCTGTTCAGATGCGGACAGAACTTTAGAAGGTGATGCGCGTACTACTTGCGTATTTTAAAATGTAAATAAAATACATGCCTGCACTCTCGGTCCCATCAGAAAGACTACATACTTCCCTCCTGTTTGAACACTGGTGAAGAAAAAATGCTTTCACTGAAATGTCCGCCTGCAGGGGGGGATGCAGCCCTGCAAATCACCGAGCTTTGCAGAGGGCTCTGCGCACACCGTGAACCAACAAGCGCTGCAGGGAAACAGGAGGTAAGGCTGATCCCAGCCGGGTGCTGGAGGGATCCTCTGTCTGTCTCCAAGATCTTCTTTTGGATGCGATGGGACCTGGGGGCAGTTACTCCAGTGACAGTGTTGTTCACCCTTGTAGTATGCACGCACGTAGGGCAGAATGAACACATCAAAAGCAAGTAACATCTGCTCGTGATTTGGTAAGACGCTTTGTTTTTTAGAGAGCAGTGGGAATAAAAGCACAATTGCCACCAGCATAACTGGCAGCAGATCCTGAAACCAACACTGGAGCTAAACAGCCTCTTTCTCTAAGCTCACTCCGACTGCATCCAGGTGCAGAGATGCAGACAGCTCAGCAGTGATAGGGCTATCTAAGCCCCAAGGAATTTTATGAGATCGCTTTGCTGCTCGGAAGTTTTATGTGCACTTACCAAAAAGCAAGCTGCCTTCCTGCGCCCTGACTGCACGACCTCAGTTCTATGCCTTACCTCCACCTGCAACAGCATCGCCCTTCCAGGGAGCTGGAAATAAGATGCCTGAGAAAATTCCCATCAACAGGCAAAACCACCTACAAACAACAGACACTGAGGAATGAGGTGGGGCAAGCCTCGCTGGCTCAAGAAAACAGAATCATCCAGGTTGGAAAAGCCCTTGAAGATCATCCAGTCCAACCATGAACCAGATCCCTCAGCGCTGGGTCACCCCGACTCTTCAACCCCTCCAGGGATGGGGACTCCCCCCCTGCCCTGGGCAGCCCATTCCAACGCCCAACAGCCCCTTCTGCAAAGAAATCCTTCCTCGGAGCCAGTCTGACCCTGCCCTGGGCAGCTTGAGGCCATTCCCTCGGGGCCTGGCGCTGGCTCCTTGGCTCCAGAGACTCACCCCCCCTCTCTGCACCCTCCTGTCAGGGAGCTGTAGAGGGCCAGGAGGTCTCCCCTCAGCCTCCTCTTCTCCAGACTAAACCCCCCAGTTCCCCCAGCCGCTCCCCAGCAGACCTGTGCTCCAGGCCCTGCCCCAGCTCCACTGCCCATCTCTGGACACTCCTGAGTAAATAAAGGCTTGATAAAGATAAAACCGAGTGCTGGGAATCCAACACAGATTGCACAGCTTCCCAACAACTGCAGCCCAGTGTCACTGCCCCCAGTCACAGTGAGGAACAGAATCGGTCGCGTTTACCTGGCTTGCTGTGTGTCTGCTCCATCTGCTGAGAGCGCTGCAGGATCTCATGTGATGGGACACAGAGATTCATTTTTTACCAGTTGTGATCAGCCAATAAAAAAAAAATCAGCCAATTAACCTATTCAAGCTTAATTAGAACAAATGCCTGAAAAATACGTAACTCCAGATTACTCCCACAGTTAAATGGGGCTTTCTATCTTAATTTAGGCTCAAACTGCTTTTAAAACTACTTTCAACATTACTGCAGTGTGCAGTTTTGCAAACCCAAGTACTTTACTGCAGATGTTCCCCTTAAATTTCTTGCTGGCTGCTTTACCACATCTGTGTTTGTTTTCTAAACCTCTGCATGTTCTTTCAACTGGAACTGGCAGCAAATAAAGCACTTATAGCCAGGAGATGAAACTTGTATTTTTAATTCTTTCCTGGCTCTGTCAGCATGGTTGGTGATGCTGCCACTTCACAGCATTTTAATGCAATTCCTTGGATTCCAAACAGTTTCATTTTAAAGCTGTTCCAGCACACAAACAAAAAAAGAAGTCAACAGGCAGCTACGTAATTCCTGCCATTTGACTCATCTGGTCTGCTGGGGTTGTCGTGTTCCATCCCTTCAAGCAAAAAGCCCATGCAAACACATACTTGCCTTAAGTTTGCCACCAAATGGGTGACTCGATGTTTCGAGGAGCGCACACAACCTATGTTCGGCGCATCCCGGCGGAGAGAAGATGACACGTGTGCGCTGGGCTGTGGCGAAGAACATGCACCCATGACTACGGCTGCCCGCCCAGCTTCTGAAGCGCCCCTGCTACCTGGCAGCGCCCCACAGGAGGATTTCTCTGATGCTTATTGAATTAGTGGTCCTGGAAATTAATACTCTAAGCAGGCAACTATGCAGCTATAGCTGTTCCTGCCTGGGAGTGGCAGCGAGGCTTGGCTCTGGTTACGTAGCCGATGAGAAACATTTTTGTGTCTTCATTTGCTTGGCGAGTAAGACTTAACTCAGGCCAAGAATCACAAGCCACTTATCTTCCCCTGCATACATTTTCCAAGAAAGAAGACTAATAGGACAGCGCAAGACAGCCCATGGGCTGCTGGGAGAAAGGAATTGCAAATCTACGTGCTGTCCTGTCACAGTGCAAGTGAGCTCTGCGGCTGAGCGGCCGCCCGCTGACACAAACAGCATGTGACAGCTCCCCGTGCCGTTGCGTTTCGATGTCACACTGTCATCGCACGCTATGCCACATGGCAACTTTCTCCTCCCGCTTCTCCCTTTAGTTTTGTACGAGTGGCTGCCAGCTCTGCAGACAAAAATCTTGGTCAATGCAGGACAGGAATGGAAGAGCGGAACCACACAGCCCTTCTTGTTTCCCGTCCTCAGTGGACACCTGAGCTGCTCTCGCCACTGTCGTCTGGTTCTCAAGGTCTTCCTTTCACTGCCAGGAACCAGCCATACCTCCCTCTCGCCTTTCCTTCCCCAGCCCCTCTGCTTCCCCCCAGCTGGATTCCTTGTTTTTAATCATTCCCTACCTGACATGGGCTGCTGGAGCACCCCTAGGTCAGCTCACCATAACCCATCTTACTTAATTACCACCAAAGATCATCAACTCCACGCTCGCCCAAGGGCCGGTCCCTCCGCTCCACACATTCTTTTCCCACTTGCACCATCTGCACGCACAGCTGCTTTCACAGCATCACAGAATCATCCAGGTTGGAAAAGACCTTGAAGATCATCTAGTCCAACCATTAAAGGTTGGATCATTTCAGATGAAACCTGTTTCACCATGGCACCGACACTGCTTGAAGCTGTGCCAACAGAGCCTAGCAGAAGGGAAAAAATGAAAGCCTGGCTCTGTAAAGACTGCGGCCCTGTCGGGGTCATTAGCCAGGCGCTGTCATTTCCAACAGCTTGGGTCAGGCTGAGACTCAGCATGTGCGTGGGGCCGATTCACACCCGCTGATCACTGGTTTTTAGCAGAAGGCTATTTACTGCCCTTAATTAAAGTTTTCTCTGCTGAAAGAAGGTCAAAGCTGTCAGACAAAACAAACCAGTAGAACAGAAGACTAACTCTTTTTAGAGGCAGCATTATAGTCATAAGGAGAGAGGATCAAAGGAAATAAATACATACCAGCTATCCAGAGCTCCTGAGGACACTTGGCCCAGTAAAACATGCCCCAGTCTCAAGCAAAATAAATGGGATTTGGAAACATGCTGGAATATTTTGCTGAAGTAGTACTTACCAATGAATCCCAGCATCAATGTCTCATCGGGATGGACACCTGAATTTCAAACTTGAAGGTTAAAAAACTTGAGGGTTAAAATACTTGAGATGCACCATTTTGATATCTTCCCTCAAAAGGTGGCAACAAGGTGAAGACAGTGGCAAGGTCGCACTGTTGAATATTTCAAGAAATTCAGCCATGCACTAAGGAAGATGCGCGGCACAATCACGCGTTGCAAGGCCACATCATTCCTCGGCTCCCAGCAAAGCTGCACCCAGGGGCTGTGCTTGTGCAACTGTGTGTGAGTGGAGCACAGGGGAGAGCGAGACAACTTGGCTTCAGAGCAGCAAAACAAGAAATTCCCACTCCCAGGCAGCTGGATATCATTTCATCTTTATAATTTTGACCAATGTCTCTTTCATATGAAGAACTTGAAGACAAGCAAGTCAAAATTCATATTTTAATTTTTCATATATATATATATATATACACACACACACACACACACACACACACACAGCAATTCATCCTCAGTACAGAAGACAAAGATCTGTGGCATAATTTCCTTGGAGTTTTTTTTTTTTCTTTTTTAATTTTTTAAGCTGTATCACAGATTTGATTTTTGTCTTTTTCAAGGACTATAAAAGGCAGCTAGTTCCAATTCACAGAAGCCTCAGAGCGCGGCTTCAGTGCTGAAGTCAAACACATCAGTCCCCTCACTTATTTGCACATCTTTTCCCACTGAAGACTCTGTTTTGCAAGAGGTTTGGCATCCTCATTTCTCCATGGAGGTTAAGACATCGCGCATCTCCCGTGCCCAGGCCGCTGCTGTGTCCCGGCACGCGAAGAGCTTCTGTGAGAGGGAGGACTGGTGCCTCACACCCCACGAGATGAGGACCATTTCACAGACTTAAGACCAAAGTTCCATGTTCAGGAAACCTGACAATTACTTTTTAAGGACATTTTCACTGAGAATTGTGGATGTTATTTACTCTCTAAGATGATGAGGAAAGCAGTGTGAAAAAAAGAAAAAAAAAACCACAACCCTGTATGATAACAGTTGAAATAGAAATCTCAGAAATGACCCAGAAATGTGAGGACAGGGTGGTTGGCAACTGAAAAGATGGGCAGTGGTTTGACCAGCGTGCCACAATTCATGTGCTGCCTGGAGACCTGACAACACAGAGCCCTGCTGGCACCCAGGGCACTACTGCACGTGTTCATGTGGCAACGCAGACGCCACCCACCAAAACTTCAGCTGCTGCCCTGATTTGCAGATTGCATCTTGCTCAACTCTGTTCCCCAGGGCCCTCTGGAAAAACGAGAGAAAGCAAAAGTCTGAGCCCAAATCCTAACTAGCTCTTCTCTGAACAGTGAGGAGAGCTCCCAAGCAAGTTCAGAGCCTGGTGCACCTCATGTGGAACAAGCACAAAGTTGCACAGGTTGGAGCAACTTTCAGAAATACCTTTCAGCTGCCACAGACCACATCTGGGCCGATACGTGCCTTCAAATATGGAAAGAGAACAGAAAAAAGTTATCAGTTGGGATGCCATTTTGCTGGCTCAATAGAAGCGGACAACATTGCTGTATTGCTGCAATATGAAATGCTGGACCCAAAGAAAACCTTAACCTTGGCAATACTGAGTAGGAGAGGGGAAAAGCCCAGTGGAAATTCCAGGAACCCTGTACCCTGACAAAACACATCGCGAGCCAGCAGCAATCGCATGCTGCTGTTGTAACACACACAAGTCCTCCTTTCAGAGGCACGAAGTTTACAGAAACACACTCAGAAATTCTGATAACAGCCCAGGAACACCATTGGTTTAAGGTAGTGTCAGGGGTTACTAAAAGTGCAATTAATATAAAGAAAGCACGGTCTGCCAACAGGCTGTTTTAGTGTTTGGAGAGCAGCATAGAGCTGAGAAACTGCAATCAACTTCAACACAGCTGTTTTGCCAAAAATAACATTTGTCTTTGAAAAGGGTAAGTCAAGCCGAAGAGAGAAAAGCAAGCTCATCTATAATGTATAACAAATCTCAAAATAAATTAAACACAGTTGCAAAATTAGGTTTGGTCAATAAAGGCTCAATAAATAAACAAAAAACAATAAAAAATATTATTGAAAAACAACCCCAAAATATTTTGGGCTGGTTTAGCCCGCGGGAGGGGTGCTGCCCTGGGCAGAAAGCCAAGGAGGGCGGTTGACTGCTGCATCCCCAGGGCCTCCTGCTCCCCCTTCTCCCTCCCTGGCTTTTGGATGACCTCCCTGCTGGCACATTGCACCTCCTTCCTCTGCATCTCTCCCTCCGCTCCCTATCCCCATCCCACCTCCAAAACTTATCCTAATTCCAAGCAAGGAATGGGGAAAATGCACCTTTTGGGGTGCAAGGGGAAAGGAAATGGTGGGAGAGAGGACATGAGTGGCCCAGGAAAAGCAGCTCCCCCCCAGCCAGCAGACAGGACAGCTCGTGTCCACCCATCCCTCGCACCCTGCCGACACCAGAACAAAATCCAGACACGTTTAACTCACATGTGCATGGCCACAGCCACAAACTCTTCCCATTCTCTTCCCTTACCCTCCATGCATCTTGCAACCCACCCGGGGCCCACCTGCTTCCAGACCACTTGAAACACTAACTGATGGCAGTGAACTGAGCCCCAGTCCTACCTCGCACGACCAAATGCACCACCAAGCTCCTCCTGCCTAGTCTGTAGCTAAAAATCCCACCAGATACTCATCTGAGGAAATTCCACATTTCAATTTTTTTACTAACTAAATATTTTTTCCTTTCATTCCTATGTCAATACCAATTTTGCCATTGGGATTTGAAGCATGCAGTGAAAAAGTGCACTGACCCCAAAAGAAGCGTACATTTCTATAGGCATCTGTAACAGCAACGTAGCTAGTGGGTATTAAAACAGATTTCAGTAACTTCTACAATTTACACAGTACGTTAGAAAACCACACCTCTTATTAGCAAACATCTCAGGTGCAATCCCTGTTGCAGAAAGGACCTGAATTACACACAATTATATCACAATAGTGCATAAATGCAAAAATAATTCTTCCAAGGAACAGTTACATTGCCCAACATAAAACAAGAAGTGGGAAAAGCCCCAAACAAGAAGTATAAGGCCACACTGCAAAGAGATCACCTTGCACAACCAATGAGAAGCAGAGCTACCGTGGGAAATGAAATCCTGCGGGATTCCCTGAGGGAAATCCTCCTCACAGCACTTCGGAAACGCAGCCATGAACTAGACCTGAGCAGACTCTCGTCCCAGAACCGAGCCCCGCGACACCTTTGTGGCAAATGCGGAGCGGGACGCGCCAACCACCATCTCTGCGCCTCCCCCTCCTTGTAAGTTAACTTGTTCAGCTGCAGGAAACGACCTCATGTGAGATTTTGCTGTCAGCAAGCACAGGGAGCCAGGCACTGCTAGCCGGCAGTGCCTGACCCCAGCACAGCCTTCCCAGAATCCATTTTGGGAGGAGACAAATGTCACGAGCTGTGACCCTCCTGCCACTCTGAGCATCTAGATTTGCACCCATTGTTGTTCCTAAAGGAAAAGATCAGTGGTTATAAACAGGGGAGCAATTGAAATGGACTTCTTGTACAGAAATTCATACTTAAACTTCATTCAGAGGGGAAACACTAAGACCATTCACAGGGAAAAATTCCAATTTCTCTACAAGAAGCTGAGTACACAGCTCATAACAAATAGGCTACTTCATTTATTGTTTATTTCCCCCATATGAATGATTCATCTCAAACTCCATCACACACAAGGCAGAAAGTTATTTACAAGAGGGACATATGTCCCCAAAATAAGTTTAAGATGTACAGATTTATAATGGGAACTAAATAAGGAGGGGAGAGGACAAAATCAAAACCAAAGGGCATTGCAGTCAGACTTTGACTTTCAGTTACAGAAGAGCTCTCTACCTCCATGTAGGTCAGGTTTTCAACTATTAAATAAACGGCATTGTAAAAATAGATCATTTGACAATTTCAACACTTTATTTCTTATAAATAAATATTGTATGGAAGTGATGCTGCTTCACCACCAGAGATGCCTCCTCTCCTGGGACTCAATCAACACCTCTGTTTTTCCTGGGATTCGTGGTTTTGTTTCCTAATGGCAAATGCTATTTCCCCCACTGTCATGTTTTGGTTTGAGGTTTTTCTTGTTTTGTTTTTTGTTTTCCTTTTTTTTTTTTTTAAGGCCTGGACAGGTCCAACTGAAAACAATGAGCATCTTTCCTAACTCTCTGCAGGTCTTTGACCTGGGCTCAAGGTTGAAATACAATGGCTTTTTTAAAATTACCTATTATTAAACAGTCTTCTCCGTGACCTGAAACAGAACACAGCTTCCTGCTACATAGCTCAGCAGCGATACTTCCACAGATGGCTTTTGAAATGAGAGCCCCCAAACAGACCTGCGCGTGCCCACGTCACCAACTGCCCGTGATCTTGTTTTGAAGCCCATGAGAGTTTGCCCTGGGAGCGAGAGCAGCCCAACCGTAAAGCAGCAAACGCCAGTGGTTCATCCGCCCGCACTGGGTGTCTTCTTACCAACTTTGCTTGCCTGAGCTTTCCTAGGAAGAGGGCAACAGATGACCACAACCTGGGCAGCAAAGTGTCCACAGGGCACACGTGGGTGGCAGGGAGCTGGGCGCAGGCCAGCAGCAGCCACGTGCCCTGCGCTTCCTGGGTTGTGGCAGGCAAAGGTCCCCCCAGAGCAGGCAAGCTGTGAGCAAGCAGCTCTCCAACAAGAACCTGGCCTGGCAGCAAGGAGGGAGATGGATGTTCACAAAATTAAAGTATGGGGGCAACACGTGTCCCTGCTTCACCTTACACTTACTCCTAACATTCTGCTGCAGTTCTTGCAGACTCCCACTGCGGTTTTTGGGTTCACTAAAGCTTTCTTCCTCTTTCTCACCCGGTGATCCTAAAAATAACTTTGTTTGAAGACAAAGTCAGAAGGCAGCATCAACTCACTAGTCTGGAACTGAGCTCCAAAGTACATGCCAAGCTTTCAGGCTGGCTGGCCATCCCCATGCTCCCTGAGAACAAAACAGTTAATGCTGATCCTTTCTTTGTCCCTGGCTTACTCAGAGCAGTTGCTCCTCCAGGGAGAAGAAGCACAAGTGAAGTCCAATAGGTAAAGAAGGGAGCGGGGGACACAGACCTTCCTCCCACTAGTTAGGACAGCTTATCCCTGAAATGCACTAAGGCTTTTAATAAAGCGAATGTAAAAGGACCATCCCTTGAAGATGCAGAATCCTGGCAGTCCTGCGCCACCAGAGAAGGCGGGAGGAGAGCTCCCTTGTGCTCAGGACAAGGGCAGAGCCCCCAGTGTGCTCCTGCCAGCTCTTCTCAGAGGCAAGAGGACTCCGGGCTTCTCTGTGGCCAGGGCCATTTCTACAGAAACCACTTTCGGAAATGCAGACCTTTTGCTGATATTTATTTACTGCTCATTTTTGTGAGCCTCAAAAACCACGAGCAGATATTTTACAGAGGGGGTAGTGCTGTAGGCACACAGACCTGTTCCTCCATCCTGAAATTATGCGGAAGAGCGAGCTAATTCTTTGCTGTAAGCACTATTATTTTGGGGTATGACCCTTCTCTTTACCACTCCCATGGGTCTGTCAGAGATAGGGCAAGGGATGTGAGAGGAGACCAGAGGGCTAAGGCACACTATTAGATATGAGGACAGCAGGACGCTGCTGTCACACAACAGGAAATCTTCGGGTGGAGAAGGATGTCGTCTTACTGAACACACCAACGCCACAGATGCTGCCTTCACTGCTACTGTCACCTGCAAAATCACAGTTTCAAAAACGTAGCTTCTGACAAGGAAAAAAAACGCTTGCAAACAGCTAATTATTCCCTTTTCTGTTCCCTTGACAGATTTATAAGTTGCTGGGCCCATCCTGTAGTTTGGTTGAGAAAGAGCACATGAATGACCTCTCACATGAGAATGCCCTCTTTCGGTACCAAATCCTGCTCTTAGATATTCACCGAGACCAGCAACAGGTGCAGGCAAATATCCAAACGCAAAATTTGGCTTATGTTCCACATTCAGCCACTTAGTCCCTCCTTAAACAGAAGCAATTCCTCCCCAGGTTTGCTCTCCGACTCAACAATGTCAATCACAGTGACACAGTACAGCTACCCACCCCCACCCACCAAAACAATAAAAAGCAACCGGACGAGGAGTCCTCAAGGGTGAGTGACATCCCTCCACCACAGAAGAAAGGCAGAGCTGTTCCCAACCACACCTGGTCATTTTGCCAATCCAACTGTGTTTGACTTACAAGGCTTAAGCCAATCAAGACCCTAAGTAACAGAGTTCAAGAGCTCAGGGCACTGTGTGCGTGAGTGCGTGGCAAGGAGGACCACCAAAGCAGCGATGACTTAAAAAGTGAACTTGCAGCACCAAAGGCAGTGACTTCCCCCGATCCTCAGGACAGCAGCTGGCTGACAAATGCAAGAGGGTGAGGTTGGAAAGCAGGCAAGGCAGACCACTTTGCTGTTTTTACTGTAACATAACGCTGTTCAGTGCTGATGAGGTTGCTACTTGCCATCTGAGAAACAAAGACACCAAAGATTGCATCTGTGCTGGCAAAAACACTTCCTTGACATGTCTTCTCGGCACATGACTGTTGCAGGCTGGGGGGTGTTGCATAAGAACCTCTGGAGGCATATTTCCTTCTTGTCGGCACTTCTTCATGTGTGATTATTGTCCTGCTGGTTATTCATAATAGAAATGTTTATAGACCATCAATACATTGAGCCATTCAGACAATTCATTGCACTTTGTCGTTTTAAAGGAAGGTGCCATCAACACTGAGGCTTCCCTCCACCTCTTCTTTTTCAAGGCAGCAAAGCATTGCCTTAAAAACACAGTTCAAAGTTTTTTCCAGTGTAACCAGATTCCTTCCACCTCGATTTGTTTTCCCTTGCAGGTGCTTTTTATCCAATATTTCAACAAGTCAGACTGTTTCTGAGGCTTCAAAAGTGCAAATAAGTTCAAGGTACTTAAGCACCTTGAGCACCAGTTAAGGCGTATTTATTTCCAGTCTCAGCCACTGTAAACCCTGTCTAGCGTAGTGTACCACTTCGGTCATGTTACTGTTCAGCGCCAGAGCGCACGTCGCTGTGCTGAGTTCAGCAAAAAACTCTGGAAAAAGGGGAGGGAGAGAGAAAACATTTGGTTGGTTTCACACCACAGGCCCATCTGACAGGCAAGGGGGCAGCGAGGAGCAGCAGCAGCACCCTGTCAGTCGGCAGGTCCCCTTAAACACATCCTTAACGCAGAGAGCTCAGCGATAGACACAGGCCGGGCAGCGTCACAAGCACAGAGGGCCCGGCCTGTGGGAGGGAAACGCACTCACACTGAACCGCCTCCCCGGGCTCTGGCTTTGAAAGGACACCGAGAGGCCATGGTAGGTGGGCAGGAGTTTGGGTGTTCACATCCCAGTCCCTACCGCGTGACGCCCCCAGGTTTTAAACCGGCCACATTCTGAGTGGTGCCTGGCAGCACACACCACTGTCACCGGGCTGGTCCCTTGGCTTCACCCATCCTCAGACCTTGGAGACATCAGGATTTCTCAGCTGAACAGGTTTCAAAATCTGTCCAGCTGGCCAGGCAGTACAGCTCTGATTGGGGTTGCTCACAGCTGGGCATCAGGCAGATTGAAGAGAGCCCTCCTCTCCTACCACCAACATCCTCCTGCCCAGCAGGAGATGGCTTTTGCAGTAGATCTGGACCTGCCAGGAGGTTCCTGTGCAAGCAACAGCCAGGTGTGGGAAATGCTCACACCTATTCCCTTTCAACTTTTCAAGACATTCCTGCCTGACCTGCCTTCATGCAACATGGGCTCAACCCAGTCCCTCAGGGCCTCCAGCCTCCACCGTGTTGCCAGGTTCCTTGTCAGGAACTGGCCATTCTCAGCTCTCCTTTCTGACACACAAAGATTGAACCTGGAGGCTGGAAATTTCTGCTTGGCTGTGCAAGGAATTCTTCAGAAGCAGGGAACACAATGCTTTCATTCTAATACTTTCCATTTCAGAAACTGAGAACACATTTCCCCTCGTTTTCCTGCTTTGGTTTGCAAAATGGGTATCAATTCCCTCCACGGGGAACAGAAGAGCTGTAAGCAGAGACAAGGAGTCCAGGAGTTGCCTGAGCAAACAGAAAATAATCTGATCTGTGACCAAAGCACCGTGTGAAATGAGAGGGACTTCACACGCACGCATGCCACCGCAGCTTGTCCTCACTGTGGGAGCTCAGAGGCTCAAAAACAACCTGTCACAGCCTCGTGATCAACAGCACTGCTCTGAATGATGGCAAGGAGCTGGGTGCTGCACTGGAAGCACCCGCCAGAAAGTGCTTCAGCTCTGCACAGGTGCCTCTAACATCAGTTACAACCAATCTCTTTCCACTCCTTTTCAACTTCCTGGTTTAAGGGATATTTGAAGGCCACTTCTCTTTCCTCCTCCTCTTATTCCCTATGAATTGCATAAAAGGTGGCCTTTTTTTTTTTTTTTTTTATGTACTCACTCTCTGTATTCTGAGCATCTGCACTTTACACTGAGTATCAACAAGCTCCAGTTCTGAAACACCTCCACCATCCTGAACAGCAGCAACAACTGCCAAGCCCACAGGAGTGTTTACTCTTATCCTGCACAGATCCACTCCCCTGGGAGTATTTACTACCTCAGTCATCATTCCCCTCCACTAAAGCAGCAACAGAGAGCAGGTTTTGTCCTTCTTAGTGACAGCCTGTGGATAATATAACCCAAAATACTACACATGCATTGCTGCTGCGAGCACAGATTTGCTCAGGGGACACCCAGCAACTGAAGTTACTCTCTTCAAAGGGGACTTGCAAAGCCTTTTGAATTTCAGCAACTGCCTCAGTGTGAGGAATTTTACAGCCCTCACACAATTCAGTCAGGCTCATGGTGATTATTTTCTTTTGCCAGTTTGCCAGCAGACAGTAGCAATACATCCTGTCGCCCACAGTAACGCACAAAAATTTGGGTTTTATGAGAAATGCCACGTAAGATGGCAGGTTACAGACTGAACTGCACCCACTCTAGGGCTTTTGCTTATTCACCACTGCTTGCACCACAGGAGAACACAATGCTTTTAACAACAAAATTGTAAAATCAAAAAAGTAGCAGCAATTTTAGGAAATCCTAATGGCAAATACTGGTCACATGCCTAGCCAGAACTCCAGTGCAAGAGCTGCTCAGCTTCTCTGTTATGGAGAGAAGCCAGCTTCAATGTTTTCAAGGCCAAGATACCTGCAAGCTTGACAAACCAACTAAAACACAAGCCTACAGGCCAAAAACCTGTTTTTAAAGAAGGGGAACCAACTCAGAAAAGCTAAGTGCCCCCAAGGGACAAACAAACTGCAAAACCCCCTTATGCTTCTCATGTTAGCATGAAGCAAGTTGGCTGGTTCCCTGAACTTGATACCCTCACCCCTTAGCGCTTAAGGACCTCTGAGGGGGCCAAGACAACCCTTGAATTGGAACTCTCCTCAATTTATCACCACCAGGTATCTCTGCCAATAACCTGACAATGTGCCACAGCTGTCTGCTTCAACATGCATGATGCTTTGATCTTTCGGCGTTTGCTACACTGAGCGTTAGGATTGAAGCAAGTACATACACATAACCACCACACATGTGACCGAAAAGACAGAGGGCAAAAACTTACCTGTGTTCTTCCTGGCCAGTGCATCGGCCTTTTCCCAAGTATCATAAGCATAGAGGATATAGGAAGTGATGTTGACGTAGGAAGAGGTGACATTTGGGATATTACAGGGGACAGTGACTGCAGAGACAATGCTGTTCCCACTGCAGTTGCTGGCATTTGATCCTGGCTGAGAACTCACAGAACCAGCAGGAGAGGGCATTGGAGAAAGAGGAGAAGGCATGCCTGTGCTTCTGCAGGAGAAAGAAACACCATCACGATTGTTAAACTTCAGAGCTAAAAGTCCTGCCTCAACACTATCTTATGCCAGGAGCTATTTGGTACCATCCAGGCCTGCAGGATGGCGTGTTGAAAACTGAGATGTGTTCAGCTACGTAACAAATAATTGTCCTTCCAGTGCAAGGCCAAGGTTTTTGAAGCAATTTGTGACTCAAAGGACTCCTCCTGACACAGGAAAATGCGGGTCCAGACATCAAGGAAGGGCCACCCATCCACTTCCCAACACCTACACCAACTTGTAGAAGCCTTCACCAGATTATCTGAACGCTTTTTCCAAACAAATTCCATTTCAGGCACGCTGCAGCTCCCCACCGATGGAGGCTGGAGCTTTCTGACAGCTGGTCACAGCAGCCAGGTCAGCCACACACACTTCTTCATAGCCCTAGGGCAGGTGAATGCAGCCAACTGCCTGACACAGCCTGGCTTCATCACAGCACTCCTTCACCCAACCCAGTTTTAGTCACTGGTAGGACAGGGCTTCCACCACTGCTCTGGGGAGACCACTGACTTCCCAATGAACTGTACTGTGCAAGGTGACACAAAAATCTGGAATTGCAGCATCACTGTTAAAGACCAACCAAGCCTCTCTCAAGCACAGAGTTTAAAAGGGACAGGAGTGGAGCAGGTAGCTCTCTGCCAAATGCAATTGCCACCACACACAAAAAAAAGCCTCTTTCTTACTCACTGTCATTCAAACACAGGCCCAGTCTGCTGGGGACCCGGGCAAACACCATTACATAACAGCTTGACTTCGACTTTTGCTGCTGCAGGTACACAGAAAGGACAAAATGCTCAACAACTCAGAAATTAGAAAATTA